ATTCATAGTAACGAATGCCTCGTCAACACTTATGGTTTTCAAAGAACTTAATGATTCTTGCTTGTATCTCTATTATGTAATTCATGTAGGGAACTTGTGGGGAATGCTTTGGGTTGTCGTATGCAATCATCCAATTCATTAACTTAAGGAAAACTTGGCGGTTAATTTAAGCGGACCTAATTAACCCGGGGTGTTGAGAATTCATGGTTTATTGAAAAGCAATTAGAAATCATTTTGTGTGCAAGTATAACATGTGTGGAGATGAACCCCTTAGCTAGCTTCCCATCCATTCAATTCCATCAAATTCGTATTTACAATTTGTTTTCTTTACAATCTATCCATTTTAGTTTAAATTCGTCCAAACCTCAATCCCCCCCCCCCCCCATATTTTGTTTAGTCTTAGTAATCTATCTTATTTTGAGTTTAGCATTCTTTGAGTCTAGTATAGTGTTTTAAACTTGTTTTTACGTTTTTGAGTCAAATCCAAGTGATTAACAATCCCTCCTAATCCCCGGTCCAGAACGATCCCTACTTACATACTTACTACAATTGACAAAAAGAGGGTTTAATTTGTGTGCGTATAATTCTCGCATCAAGTCGCAACGAGAAGTTTCCGCATGTCAAACATTTACGACGTTTAAAGACTGACATCCGAGGTGGGAGATCGTGCTCAATAAATGCATCTGAGTGGATGGGAATATTCGAAATTCACAAGGATCTTTTGATCGACCAAAAAATGAAGATCAACATTTGATAATGGGCCACTTCTTCAAGGTTTAAGTTCAACTAAATTCTGTAGGTCAAAGACCTTAGAAGCGAAGGGGTAATGTTTGGGCCCAAAATGATATTTTTGGCCTAGCCCGAGGTTCTCGGTCCAATTAGGAGTCTCAAGAATATTCTGCCATGGGTCGAGCCCAATAAAGTTCGGAAGAGTGCTATCAGAATGTGATTTCTACCTAAATCAAGATGAAATGGTTGAATCCTAATACAAGATGGACTCTTTAGAGTTTTAAAAAACTTCTGAGTCAGAGAAGATGCCGAACTTCAAGGGATGAATCTGAATGATTAAAAAGCTTAGTTCAGAGTCCTATAGAGGTTAGGATTGGTTGACATGGAATCAGATTGGGATGAGGAATTTCAGTCCAAGTGAAATTCTAGTTCAATTATTTGGGAAATTGCTATTATAAATAGAGAGGGAGATGCATCATTCAAGCTGCTCTAATTCAAAACACAACTATCCTGCGCAAACCTCTCAAACACCTTGAGATTTTTATTTTCTTTTTTGCCGCCAACACATCTTTAGTTTGGATAAACAGTATTATGAAGGCAACCGGCAACATCTTCAGTTTGGATAAACAGTACTGGAGCCGTAAAATCAGCCGACCGATGAACACTGTCAGTTTGGATAAATGATAGGAGCATATTTATGTGACTTAGTTAGCTTGTTTTCTTGCATTTACATAGTTAGTTTCTACTTATTATAGTGATTTAAGCTATTTTCGTGTGTTTCTAGGTCTTAATGGTAAAGGAAGCAAGAAAGTGCATTTTGGAGCTATTTGGAGCAGTTTTGGGCATCGAATGGATAGCTTGCATATGGAGCAAGGTGGATGGACGAATTTGAAGTCAAAATAGGCTAGGAACATGCTACAAATCTGGAGAAACAAGTTCAAGACAAAGAAGATAAGGAAAGAGCAAGAAACATGGAACATTATCCAAACCTTATCCTAACCTAATCTTGTTCTACCTTATTTCTAGCTGCAAGAGGACCTAAATACCTGATTTCTAGAAGTCTCATCTACTCCTAAAAGGGTGCCACACCTTTCCCCTTAATCCCCTTTCTAGAAGACCCTATCTGTCCTTAAATACATGCCGCACCAACCTTTCTAGAATCCCTAGAAAGGTGGCGCCTCTCCCTCTTCTAGAAGCTCTAGAACCTGCAATCCTTTTCCTTAGAGAATTGAGCAATCATTTCCCTTCAGATTTTGGTGCACCTTAGTCTTTTTCCCACCTAATTTCTACCAAACCCTAATCTGATTTCCCTAGGGTTTGCCGTGCATCATATGTATATTTAAGTTTGTGCCGCACCTATCCATTCACTCATTCATTCATTCATTCATTCAACCATCAAACACTATAATTCACACCACATACAACTAAATCACCCTAGTGCCGCAGCAAGGAAGGAAGGAAAAGAGGACTTGTGTCGTGCTTGTCATCATCCAAGGGAGTGCCGTGCCTGCCATTGGAGTGTGAAGTGCTTCTGGGTTCTTTCTATCCTTAGTTTTAGTTTGATGCTTATTTTAATTTGGTTTTCAATTATGATGAACATAAGGAACTAATTTCTTTATAGTTAGAGGTGAATTCAAAGCCACGATTATATGTTTTATATGAATTGATTACATCCAGTTATTATTTATTGAGTCTTGAATGTGATTTGCTTATCTGAGTTATCAAAACTTGTTTATGTATGTTGATTGAGGGTCGACACTTAATTTGCATGCATGAATTTGATGCTAGAGTATAAGGAAGTTTCACCTAATCGTTATGAACTTATATTCACAGGTAGTGGAAGTCACTAGTCATGATTGTGTTAAGTAAATCCTTGGTATGAGTATCATGCTTTTCATAGTTACGAATGCATCGTCAATGCTTATGGTTTTCAAAGAACTTAATGACCTTTGATATGTCTTTCTATCATGCTTTTCATAGTTAGGGAACTTTATAAGGATAATTTGGTTGCGATGCGTATTCCATCTAATTCAATGAGTTAAGGAAAATCTAAAAGTTAATTTGTGTTTTTCACGTTAATTTGGGGTATTGTCATCCATAGTATAAAGGAATAAGAACTGGAAATTGGTTTGTATGCATATGTCATGTGTGGAGAATGACCCTCTAACTAGCCTTTCACCCTTTTTAATTCACCAAATTCGTTTTTATAAAGTGTTTTATGCAAAGTTTCTGTTTTAAGTTTTAATTTCGTCAAAAACAATCCCCGTTTCATTAAGTCTTGTTATTTGAGTCAAAATTTGTTTTCTTTTAGTCTTTTGAGTCAAGTTAAGTCTTATTTTCGTCAAAATCACTTGTTAGGTCCAGAATTGAGTCTTTTTTATTGTTTGTAGCTGTTTTGAAGTGTTTTGAGTCTAAAGAGTCTAATTTAGTGTTTTTAAGTCTTATTTGTGTTAATTAGCATCCCTAGTTAATTCCCGGTCTAGAACAATCCCTACTTACATATATACTACAGTTGTCAACATTAGGGTTTAATTTGTGTGTCAAGTTAATTTTCACATCAATAAACAGCACTACTTCAAGACCGACTGGTTATCTAAGTCTTGGTCAACAAGGATCTCCGAGTCCTTGTTGGAAGAGGTCATCTCATCAACCTTCTCAACGAAGTAAGGTGTTACCAGGCTCGGCACATTGAAATCGAGTTTATTTTATGATTGGATATTCGCAAGTACATTTTAGAGTTCGGCATTCCGACGGCCGAATTACATTTACAATCAAGACACTTTCTCTTTTGAGTATTTGTGTCTGTACAGTCTGGTACCAGTTCGACGTACTTATATTCTCACAAATATAATTACTGAGGCAGAACCCGGCGCTGATGATTCACGAACTTCGAAGAAACTAGCAGCCTTATTATCAGGCTTTAGAACCCAAAGGCCGAGACGATTCCTTCCTCGACTGCAATCGCAAAACGCAAAAGTCACCAGCGTGCCCAACGCCACATCAACATTTATTATCCCCCGGCCAAGTTCGGGCGACAAGTTGGCATGCCCATCATTCAACCGTAGGACGTAGTTAGATTATTAATTACTCGACATGCGCACCACGTAGGCTAAGTAATTTTTAGGGTCAACAAGTTATGCGGATTTCTTTTTGGTTGTTTAGTTCTTATTTTGCTTGAGTAATATATGTATGTGAACATGCAGATATCGCCCATCGAAACTTACTCATTTCATGTATAAGATGGATCTCATATTGAAGTTGAATTTAAAGGAAAAGAGTTGCATATGCCGGCAGTATAAGAACAAGAGATCTGACAAGTAGGATGTTAATACCCCTTTCTTTGACTTTGGACAGGATAGGATGGGAGTCGAGTCATTTGTTTGGTGTAGACAAACCACCCAGGACTTGTGACCCTGCAACTACCTTTTTCTAGGGGTAAGAAAAATACTAAAAATCCCGAACCGAACTAAAAATGTCACAAAACCAAACCGAAAACATCCCAATCAAAAATCCTGAACCGTTCAGTACCCAAAACCGAACCAATCCCAAAAAGTTTGGTATGGGATTCAAGATCACATATGCCTTTGTTCGTTAATCCCGAACTGAGACACATTTTACGATAGATATTTAATTGTAAATTAGGTTTAGGAATTATGTGGACCGTTGGATTGGTTGAGATTTAATCTCAAACATCCAATCTAACTTAAGATTCAGTGTCTCTCTCTCTCTTACATTTTATCATTCAGCATTCTCAAACCCTCTCTTTCATCTCTCTTGAGTACTCTCTTTGTTCTCTCCGCCTTTTAACTCTCCTCCTTCCCCCCACCACCGACCAGTCAACCCCCCGCTCACATCACACAGAGAATCACAAATTTTCAGTATTTCTTCATTTTGATATGGAAAAATGATGGTGAACGATGACGAGAAGATGACAGAAGGCGTTGCTCCGACTAAACCCACAGATCCTTCAATTGTATAACTTGTGTGCAAGGTTGGGTTACATAACCAATATATTTCACACATAACCTATCCTAACCTATCCTGTCCACGACACGTTTAACACCATCAAACAGAGAATTGGACTCGGCCCTTTTAATTGGATATAACCTATACCATCCACCCAACCAAACGGGGTGTAAAGGATTAAAATTTCAATCATGTCTAATCCCTTCTGACCCCCTCTAAACAAATAACCATTGGCAACCGACACTAGACTAGCTAGTATATGTTTGAATGCACTAAATTGGCAGACCCACACATTCACAACAATATGAATATAAACTGAGAATATGGATAGCAAAATTCAAGATAATGGTTCAACAAAAACCTTAAACTCACCTTAGAATGATGAATATTTTAAAAGCAAATAAAATGCCAAAAAACAGTTCATCTGTCAAGAGTAGCTCAATCTAAATGTACTTCATGCACAAAAGTAACACTAACATACTGCCCGAAACGGCAAAATCATATTCCAGTGAATGCCTTCTTCCCAGTTCCAGATGAACCGGCTGGAGTCACCTTCAACACATTAAACCTCACTGTCTTTGACAATGGCCTACAAAATTCAGACAGAATCACTGATTAAACAAAAATACAAATTGACTACTAATGGTAAACAAACTAAAGCATTAAAAAACCAATCAGTAACAGTTTCCAACGAAATTAACGAGCAACATGAATAAAATCTAACCTGCACTGCCCAATGATGACATAATCTCCCTCTTTCACACGGAAGCAAGGTGAAACGTGAGCTGGGATGTTAGAGTGCCTTTTCTCGTATCTACAAATAAGTGAAAAATTAATTATCCTGTTGTTAAGAAACAGAAGAAAACTTCACTTTGTCATAGTAATTTGGCCTCACCTCTGGTACTTTTTAATATAATGCAGGTAGTTACGACGAACGATAATAGTCCTCGACATCTTGGCACTGTGGCAAGTACCAGAGAGAATACGACCCCTGATGGAGACGTTGCCAGTGAATGGGCACTTCTTGTCAATGTATGTTCCTGCAGTTATACGCAAGCAGTTCTTTTATGTAAAAGATGACCACCAAACTTCAAATCACAAGTCATTGTACCATTTACAGTTAACAAAACCCCTTCAAGCGTTCTTCGCCTCCCCACATCACTCAATTCACTGCATCATTAAATGTACATGACAAATGCCAACAAGCAACAATAAATCTCAAAGCATTTCATGGCATCTCTAATTAATCATACAAGCAAATGAGCTGAGAGCCTGAGACGATATTACAATCAAATCAAAATACACGAAGTATCACAGTTGTAAGATATTATTCATCATTTAGGTTTGCGACTTTAATCTCAACCTAAAAAAGAATATAAATTTGTACCGATTACACGATTTCGATCAAATAGGGGTCCATGGATAATAATTAAACAGCATAGCCCATATGCTTGACATTGCAAATATCTAATAAAATGAATAACAACCACCATAAAAGTAAACAGTAAAATATACCTTCGATAGCATCTCGGGGGGTCTTGAATCCCAACCCAACACTCTTCCAGAAGCGATTGCCTCCCTTTCCAGGCCTCTTTCCCTTCCCTGTCTTCTTTGAGCTGCAAAAATTCATAATTTCCATTTATTATACCTATTAATATTATGTTATTAAATAAATAAACAAACAAAATCATTTGATTTCAGCAGAAGCAAATGAACGAATACACGAACCAAATCCGATCTAAAAAAAGCTTGAATAATGTGAGATTTTGAAATCAATTGTTTACCTGAGGAAAACCTTAGGCTGCTTCAAGAAAGCCTTCTCGGTCTGCAACAAAAACAAGTACGAAACGATGAATTGAGAAAACGGAAAAGTTAGAGAGAGAGAGAGATCGAGATCTACCTGTTCCGCCATTTTCGAGCTGGTTCGAGGAGAGTGGAGGAAGCCGACGGCTTAAGCAGAGAGTTACCGAATGAGCAAAAACCCTAATCTATGCGGAACGGAAGTGGCGATGCTGGAGACGGATATATGTAGAAACCCTAGTTGGTATATTGACTAAAATGTCCTTGGTCCGTTTAAGTGAGATCTGCCAAAAGGTTAATTAGAAATCTTGGGCTTTCTAATCTTTTGATGAAAACTTGGGCCTTTTGGGCTCATGTAAGAAAGATAAGAGGAGGCAAGAATGTGTGAGGTGTGGACACATAATGCCACATAATCAAATGAAATAGTAGGGTTTATGGTTTTTTTTTTTTTTTTTTTTTTGGGTCAAACGATAGATTTTGTTAGATTAAATTTTAGATTAGTCACAAATGGGTTCAAACTCACGCCGTTATGTCAGGGCTTAACACTTTTCCACCATTGTGGTAAAGGGCCACTTGTAAGTTTTTTTTTTTTTTTCTTTTTTAAGTTACTCAAAAAAGTGGGAAAGTGGGAAGGTAGTTTTACATATACAATATCATATAAACCAATCATATTCTACCAACAGTCTCAATTGCAAAGAAAAATGATCACCGTATCCATTCAAAAAATAAACAAACAGGGAAGCTCTTCCAAGTTCCAAAGCCTTCCAAAACTTTCCTCCATAACCAATGAAATATCCTCCCTAATTGAACTAAGTATGCTCCTTAAAAAAAACCCTAGGCTTAGTTTCAAATTTGGCAATAAAGTTTCACAAAAAAAAAAAAAACATCATGGTCTAAACTATGTACTTTGCTTTTCAGTTTGATTGGACTCATTACGTCCCAATTCACATAGCTTGTTACTCGTTGATGCATATGTGACCTACACAAAAACGACCATAATTCGCAAGCACGCTCTTGCATACAACATTGATATCATAGCCTATTGGTGGGTTTAACCCAGCTTAAAAATGATATCAAACTACAAAGCCCAGCCTCGTGTGTTGAGGAAATTTGAGGCCCAAACATTTTAGGCGGGAAAAAAAGAGCCTAAAACTAGAGATTGCGGTCCTACGTGAATTTTAAGTCCCAGTTGTTAAATCCTGACGTAGAAATTTTTCAATTTGTCAGAAATACGGGACCAATACATTAAGTGTCATAATACAAGTACGTGGATATTTGAACTTCGTAATGAATTAGGCAATCTTGTCTTCAAGTTCTAGAACCCAAGCCCAAGACGCTTTTCTTTCTTGGCCGTAATCGCTCAAGTGTAGAAGTTAGTAGCACATTCGGCACCATCGCCACCATATCTATTCTCCTCGCCCGACAAAGCTTGGTTGTGAGTTGTCAAGCCCGTATTCACAAGAAAGACATAGTTAATTCATATTTACTTGGATTGCGAGTCATGTATGCTTTGTAATTTTTAGGGTCAAAAGGTCTTAACCCCCCATTTTGGTTCTTACAGATGGCCCAATAAGAGGGATTGTAGCCAACTGAACTCGAACCGAGGCCTTGATGTGAAGAGAACGATCCTTACTAACTCAAACAACCCTCATTGACAATTTTATTACTTTTTTTACATAAATGTCATCAAATCCTAGTGTAATAAATAACTTGTAATTATAAATGTAGAGTATAAGGTTCCATGATAAATTTTAGAACTGTGATGCAACAACCATCTCTTGTCTAAAGATTTTGTTCAGTTTTCCACTCTTGTATGAAACTACTTTTAAAATAGTTAAAAACTTTTAGATGGTTAAAATTGTGTTAACACTTTCACATGCTAAGTTAAATGTGCTTCTTCAAGATAAATGTATTTTAATTTCTAAGAACCATGTTAAATTTTGATAAAAATTTCAACATGCTTATGATAAAATTGTTTTTAAGACAAGCAATTTGACCAAAACTGCTTTCTAAAACAACACATCTCGAACCTTAAATGATTGCTTTACGTTGACAAATGAATTTATTTGATGAATTTAATCTTTGAAAATGAATGTGACTAATTTATTAAATGATTTTTCCATGACTAACTTTTATTGAAGTTTTTCAACTACTATTAGAAAAAACAAAATCAAGGGAATTGCATGATTTTTCCATGACTAACTTTTATTGAAGTTTTTCTAGAATTAGAAAAAACAAAATCAATATTGAGCATTCTCACCGTCACCTCGTAGCCTATATTTCAAGTGAATATATTCCCCGGCGAAAAACCAAAAGCGACGACGATATAGTGGTATTAATTGAGGATTAAATCATAAAAGTGTTATTTGACACACCGCCGACCCCAAATAACACAATCGTGATGTGTTGGGCATTACTAAATTGACCACATGATTCCTATCGAGAGATGACATTATGAGCTAAGGTAATAACGAAACCATAGTAAGATTATTATGATGTGAGAAAATTTGATCCAAAATGCTTTTTAATAATAGAATAAAAGTTGCGACAAAGTCTCCTAATCAACCTCCCCAGTTAAAGACAGAAGTGTAGGGATAAGATTTCATTATTATCACGTCACATTAGAGCAGTTAGAAGTTTTACACAATAGTAAACAAATAAAAGTGAAATGCTATGCATAATCGAAAGAATGATCATGCAGTTATTACAAACTAGAATAAACTACAGTAAAGGAATCATCACCCAAAGTCCAAAGGATAAATGTCTCACTACCAAGCTCACTCATCACCTTCGGGGTTCTTCTTATTCTTATTCTCACTATGTCCTGAGGGGTCGAAAAACAAAGCGTAAGTGAATCAAATTTATCTAGTTAAAATCATTCGAATATAATAACTCTCATTTTGAAATCACATATATGGTAAAAACTACATACATATAATATACTACCATAATTGAACACGTTCATATCAAAGAAAGTAACAACAATCGCAAAATCAAGTAAATCAAATGTATAGCAAGCAGGTGAAGTGGCGTCGACCTGATCGATGGCTAGTGTCTACTACTGTTTCTAGCCTCTACTAGAAAATAAGTACTTGTAAATAACCTACGGTCATAGCTAGCATTACGATATGTATGATGACCATGTGGTGAAAATAAATCACAATGAACTCAAGATATCAACGTAATTTAACTAGATATAAGTTTCCTTAATAACTAAGAATAATATTCATATGGATTGACATATAATAATAATTTAAAAACTTTAGTTTTGAAGGGATCCACTCACAGGAAAGCAAAGCGCCCTTCCTCAATAGGCTTTGTGCCTAAATTCTTTTTAAAAGTGATGACACGATTGAGATTATTGAACATACTTGGTTCTTCAGAAAACTGATGCACTTCCTAGCTGTAAGCTTCAACGGCCACCCACACAGTAGCCATATCCATGTGCTTTGAAAGTTTTTCAACAAATTTCCACATTATTTGCAGCTCCAACATGTGGAGGCGATAGAGAATCAGTTTTGGACTTGGATGAAAGACAGCAGCCTAATCATGATTAGTGGAATTAAAATATATGTTTGTAGAAGAAGAACCACTTTCAGATGCAAATTCCTTCCCTCAATGTTGATTTGACCAAATCAGCAATTGGCAATTATAATATAATTAACTTTGATTATTAGGGTGCATTTTTGTTCATCGCCTTCAAGTGGTGGTAATGTTTACCACCATATCTATTATCATTAAATTAGTTTAAATTTTAAGACTTGTGTATATCCACTACAAAAATTTTGAAATTTAAACTTATTTAACAGTGATAAATAGGAAACGGAGGGCGATAAGCAAATATTCCTGGATTATTAGGGCTTTTTTTCGTAGACCAATTATTGATACAACAAGGTTATTGTTTTAGTTCCTTTTTTCCACAATTAATATTAGAGAGATGCTAAGGGAACTCTTTTAAAAGTGGGACTCTCCATGGATTTTCTGTTACCTCATATTTTTAGCACAATCTCTAATATCAGAAAGTCAGCAATCAATTTTGGTGTCTCAAGGCTTCACCAAAAACTTTTGGACAAAAACACCCCTAAAACAAAACAAAAAAATCTACAACTTGCTAAAAATAATGCAATCAAAATAGCAGTGATAATTTTGTCAAAAAAAATTGAAAACAAAATAGAATTAAAATGTTTTATAATACTGGCACCAAAATTGACATTAAAATGTGAGGTGACAAAAGTCCATGAAGAGTCCCTTAGACCATCTTCAATCCTTGGGTTAAAACCTAAAAATATTTACATAGAAAATTTAAGTTTTAACCCATTTTTTGCTCCAACCCTTATGGGTTAAAATTTTTAGTCCAAGATTACTAAGAAATGAATTTAGGATAATATTTTTCTTAAGACGTACACCAACCGTTGGAGTAAAATAAAATCAAGTGCTCATCAATCTATGCTAACACACAAGTTCATGCAGAGGGAATCTGACCTGGGTGTAATCATAATATACGCTCTAGTACTACAATCACGTGAAGACTGGCGCTAGGCGCATTACATACAAGTCAGAGTTGCCTATTGCAACATATATGATAGGACTGGCACCTACAATGGATCCAAGGTGAGCATGCGGTGCGATGTGAACAAACATGTGAAGCTTGGCCATGGCCTGGGCGAGTACTACACCGGTGCAAGCATGCATGATGATGAGCAAGTATAATGTGTGTGTGTGTGTGTGCGCGCGCACTAAATAATGCCATTTTAAATAAAACATGGCATATTAGGTGTAAAATCAATCCAAAAGCATATGTGGAAACTATCAAGTTTAAATATATATATATATAACATACACATGAAAACAAATGCCCACTCACTGATACGTCGATGGATCGTAGCCTTCTAGCCTTATTTGTCGTCGTATGTCCTCGAGGTAATTCTCACCTATATGCGAAATAACTAAAACTAATTAATTAAATAGGACATATACTAAAAGGTTAGGAAAATCCCCCATAGTTTGCTCAAACAAAGGGTTTAAATATACGAAAACAATCTACACGATGTCACGGACCCGTACACATCAAGCATATGCCGACCAATGGTCGGACGCGCCCTCACACACCGCCAGGTCATGGCCACACGCGCATTCACGCGCCTGACAAAACTAACAGATGGCTGAGGAATATTCCGTTAAATGCTAACGGCGTCAGAATATTCCGTTAACTTTAACAGAATATTCGGTCTTCTTCTCCTATGGACCTCCGT